TCAGGATAAATTCTGAACTTCTTTCCCTGGCCTACAGGCCCTTCCTCCCGCCATCCTTGGCCCCTGACCTCAGCCCTACCTCCTCTGTTTTGCTTAGCTTTTCTCCAATCCTAGAACTTGGCAGTGCTCCAAACTGTCAACACTGGCCCTCTAACTCCTCAGCTAAGGGAAGCCTGCCCTGACCTCCAGCTCAAGTCAGTTTCCCCAGCCCCCCATGCCCTTTCACTCCCCCCAGCGCTTCCCATTCATGGCATTAATCATTTACACTGATGTGTTCAACGTCTACTTCCTCCTTCGGACCGACAGTTCCAGGAAGTCAAGGAAACTGGTGGAAGCTTTGCTATTGGACAGAGAGCCCCTGCAGACCACAGCGGGAGCTCCCCCTCCATACCCCTCCCCATCACAGGCAAGGTGGAGCTGGAACCCCTCCCCCGCCCAGAAAAGCTTCTACTTAGAACTACTGACTGGCTTTTCCTCCTTGCCAAGAACAGGAGCCCCTGCACCTGCCTCGCCCCCCCACCTCCCCCAGCCCACTTCCCCTGAGTACAGCCTCCTTCCCACCCTCAAGCCACCACTTCATGCAAGGCAAACAGGAAAGACTTCCCATTCAGAAGAAAATGTTTCTGCCTTCTTTTCTTGTTGCCATGGAGACTGCTCCTCATTAACCTGGCCTGCCAGTTATCATTCTGAGTGAGGGAAGAGGGTGGGAAGCTCCAGGCGGGGCGGGCGGGCGTCTTCATGCACCCACTCTTGAGTTCATTCATTCCAGATATTTAACAAGGCTGTGTAATCTAAGGTTAAGGCTTCAGGTTTTGGAGTCAGACAGCCAGGATTTAAGTTCCAGGTCTGACATTCCATACAAGCTTAGACAAAGATGTGTCACCTGTCTGGATCTCAGCTTTGTCATCTGTAACGGAAATAAAAATAGTGCCTACTTCATAGAGTTGCTGTGAGGATGAAGGAAGAATAAAGACAGTAAATGCACCTAGCAGAATGTCTAACACATGGTAAGGGCTTGAAATATATAAGCTATTATTTTGGATGTGTCTGAGGTGCCAGGTGCTGGAGAGACGACTGTGACAAGGCACTCCAAATTGGGAGACTTTCTAAGTGTTTCACCTTCATTGAGTCCTTCGTACATTTTCAACCCAGTTTTCATAGAAACAACAACTTTTTTCTTTTTGCTCCTCATCTTTCACTGGTCAATGGCAGGAATTAAATTACTTAGGGACAATAATAAATACAACTATTGTAAACAGGTTTGGGAACAAACATTTTCCAACTGCAACCCACACCCCATTAGTGACCATTGTGAAATAAATGTAGAGGGTTGCAATCACCAGGTGCTTTTTTTAATCAAATAGAAAATAAAATCTCAGAGCACATCATGCATAGTCAAGTATCATGAAATTTTGTTTCAGTTCATGTGTGCATGTGTGTTTATGTGTGCTGGGTTTCTTACAAAGAATACTGGTCCCCTTGAATATAATGTTCCCTCTTCCAAGAAGACCACGTACACACAAAAGTACACAAACACAAACACATGCTTTGCCTGCTTAACTCATTCTCTAGGCTTCAGCTTTAAATAACATAATCTTTGTCCGGTTCTTCGATGAATTGATTATTGGTTATTGGATGCATTCGTGTCTGTCTCTCCCCACACATTAGATTTGAGCTCAATGAGGGCAAGGGACACATGCATTTTGTTGACCTTTGTGGCACATTTTTATCACAATGCTTCATCAGTCACGGGCACCCGGGGGATATGATTTGGAAAGACATGAGCGAGGAAACATGGGGGAAGAGGAGGAGAAGGAGGAGGGCCAGGGATACCAAGGTGGCCTCAGCTAGGGTGTGCTGGTTTAAGGTGCCTGCAGCACCCAGGAGGGGATGAGACCTGGAGGGGCAGTGTGGGTGGTTAGGGAGTTTGAATCCTTGGCCCTGCTGTAGACTAAGTGAGTGAAATTTGGGCCCAACTTAACTCTCTATGCCTCGGTTTCTTCATCAAGTTGTAGGCTGCGTCCATGCACTGAGGAAAGACTTAGTCCATGTTCTGTTGCTATAACTGAATACCACAAACTGCATGATTTATAAAGAACAGGGGTTTATTTAGCCCACAGCCTGGAGGCTGGAAAGTTCCAGAACACAGTGCTGGCACCCGGTCAGCATTGGGTGAGGCCCTTCTAGGGCATCATAGCTCAGGGCAGCACAGGGCAAGAGGGCAAGAGCATGTGGGCCTACTCAGGTCTCTCTTTTTCTTCTTTTAAAGAAGGAAATCATGAGGGCCCCACCCCAATGACCTTATCTAGTCTTAATTGCTTCCCAAAGGCCCCACCTCCAAATGCTATCAACATACTAGAGGCTGGCTCAAACCAATTTCTCATGGTAAAAGAAAAAAAAAAATAGTAAATAAAGAATTTTAAATAATTAAAAATCAAATTAAAAAAACATATTAGAGGCTAGGAAGGGTAGGGGGAAGGGGGAATAGGGAGAGATTTGTTAAAGGTTACAAAATTAGAGCTAGACAAGAGGAACAGGTTCTAGTATTCTATAGCATTATAGGACGACTATAGCTAATAATACATTATACAGTTCCAAATAGCTAGAAGGAGGACATTCAATGTTCCCAATGCAAAGAAATGATAATGTTTGATATTATGGATATGCTAATTACTTTTATCTGATCACTGTGCATTGTATCACATCACCATACACCCATAAATATGCACAGGTATTATGTGGCAATTTAAAAAAAATTAAGAAAATCATTACATAGTTCATACTTACGGAAAAATATACGCATAACGTGTATATACACATAGATATAACAACAGTATATAACAGCACGCTCGTATATCTATTGAATATCCTATACGCTCATATACCGGGCATATATGGTTTCGCAATAGCCTGGTGCAAGTGGCCCCCGCGCTGTGTGAATCCGTAGCAGCTGCTGAGCACTCAGTCGAAGGCGGGAGGATCGTTTGAGCTCAGGAGTTTGAGACCAGTCTGAGCAAGAGTGAGATCCCATCTCTAACAAAAACAGAAAAGAATTAGCCGGGCATGGTAGCGCATGCCTGTAGTCCCAGCTACTCTGGAGGCTGAGGCAGGAGGATCATTTGAGCCCAAGAATCTGAGGTTGCTGTGAGCTAGGCTGATGCTACAGCACTCTAGCCCAGGCAACAGAATGAGACTCTGTCTCAAAAAAAAAAAGAATAAAAAACATCCATGTAGCCATCACTCAGCTTAAGAAAAGAAACATTACTTTTTTTTTTTTGAGGCAGAGTCTCATTCTGTTGCCCAGGCTAGAGTGCCATGGTGTCAGCCTAGCTCACAGCAACCTCAAACTCCTGGGCTCAAGTGATCCTTCTGTCTCAGACTCCCAAGTAGTTGGGACTACAGGCATGCACCACCATGCCCGGCTAATTTTTTCTATATATATGTTTAGTTGGCCAATTAATTTCTTTCTATTTTTAGTAGAGACGGGGTCTCGCTCTTGCTCAGGCTGGTCTAGAACTCCTGACCTTGAGCGATCCACCAGCCTCGGCCTCCCAGAGTGCTAGGATTACAGGCGTGAGCCACCGCGCCCGGCCAGGAACATTTCTTTTGAAGTCCTTTGAGTCCCTCCCTGTTCACATCCTCTTCCCTGCCACCCCCTCCAAAAACAACTACCTATTTTATTTTTGTGTGTACAATTCCCTTGCTTCCCATAATAGCTTTGTCCACAAATATGTGCACATTCCTAGACCATATCGTTTCGGTTTTTGCTTTTGAACTTATATAGTGTCAAATTTTGTTTGTCTGTAATTTGCTTTTTATTATCCCACATTATATTTCTGAGATTCACCTAAATTATTCCTTCTGGTTATGGTTCACTAATTTTTCCTGCTGTATAATATTCCATGATTTAAATAAACAATTTATATATATATATATTTTTTTTAATACCATCAACATACGAGTTTGGGAATTATGTTTCCAACACGACGAATCTGAGAGACACATTCGAATGGTGGCAGATGGTCAAGTGAGTTAACAAACCTCAAGTGCTTGGACCACCAGAACCTGGTGCGTAGTAAGTGCCACATATACGTTAATCATCATCGTCCTCCCGTGGGGACTCACTGAGGCTGAAGGAGGCGTGAGACCACCGTAGATGAAGAAGGGGGCTGAGGACAGAGCCTCCGGGAGGGAGCCCGAGGCCTCAGGCCTGAGGGGGAGGGGGGCAAGGAGACCAAGCAGAAGAGTGGGCAGTGCTACTCTGAGATCTCCTAAAAGAGGAAGATGAGTTCCCCTACAGGAGGAAGGGCAGAGCTTAATAAACGGCTGACTTTTGAGCTTGTTTGGATGCTAACGGGAACAGAGGGAGGTTTCATACCGCCAGAGGGAATGGGTGGGGCGAGGCGGGGTGGGGTCGCGTGGGCGGAGGAGGGCAGCTGGCATCCTCGGGCCCATCCCCTCTCTAGGAGGTGTTTTCTTGGGGGACGCAGAGGGGACCGTGCCTCGTGTCGGGAAGGGACGGTCTAGAGGGAAATTTGAAACTAAACCCGCTTGGGCACCCAGGGCTCTGCAGCCGCGCGGCCTCTCGGGGACAAAGGCGCGGAGCCAGTACGAACGCCAGACCCCGTGACAGGATGGGAGGGGTCCCCAGGAGACCGGGGCTGCTGCCCGCAGAGGGGCCTGGAGCCGAGGCCACCGGGCCCTGGGTCTTCTCGGTGCCCGGGCCCCCCGCCTGCGTCCCGACGGGTCGGGCCAGCCTGGCCCCAGGCGGAGGGAGCGGGCTGCGCGGGCCCGGCGGGCGCGGGCGGGACCTGCGGGTACAAAGCGTGCGCCGGAGGGGCGTGAAGCGGTGCGGGGGTCCCGGGCGATGAATGGGGACGGCCGGGCCAATCCGAGAGCAGGATCCGCAGCTGCGAGAAATGGGAGCCAATCGGATCCCCGCAACGGCGTCGGGCGCGCGGCCGGAGCCAATCAGCTGTGAGGACGAGGCCGGGCAGAGCCGCGCGGAGTTTCAAATCGGCCGGGGCCGGCCAGGAGCGGCTGTGCTCGGCGCCGGGCGGCCTCGGGGCGTCGGGTGAGTGCGGCCGGGACGTGGCGGGGGTCTGGGTAGGATCGGCATGGGGGGCGTCTGGGAATGCAAGCGCCGGATCGGAGACCTGGGGTCAGGGCCGGCGGCGAGGGCCGGGCGGGCGCGTTCGCTCCGGACGAGCTTGCGACGTGGCCGCGGACGGTGCCCTGGCGGGGCAGAGCCCTGCGAGGGCGGGTCCTCGCTCTGCCTCCCTCCCCGCCTGCCGCAGACAGGGAAAGACAGCGGGCTGCAGGCAGGCTGCTCACCGCGGCCCCTCCTCCAGGGCCCTGCGCCTTCCCTCGCCCCGTCCCTCTTCCCCTGTGCCCAGGGTCTCGGGAGCCTGGGGAGGGGGAATACCCTCTGACCTGCCTTGCGACCTCCTCCCCAGGGTCTAGTGGGCAGAGAAGACTCTTGGCCAGGCGGATGGCTTCTCGGTGGCAGGGCGTGAGCGCCTCTGTGCGCCGGAGGTCTCTCCGGAGCCACGAGCGGCTGGAGGACAGCAAGGTGCTGCAGCCTGCGGTCGGTCATCAAGAGACCTCTACCCTGGGCTCCCTGTGCAGACAGTTCCAACGGAGGCTGCCCCTGACAGCCGTCAGCCTCAACCTCAGGGCAGGCCCGTCCTGGAAGCGCCTGGAAACCCCAGAGCAGGGGCAGCAGGGCCTCCAGGCTGCAGCTCGATCAGCCAAGAGCGCTCTGGGTGCCGTGTCCCAGGTAACAATGACGATGCTAACCATCTCTACATGGACGACTTCCTTGGCGCTGGACAGTTCCTACCCTCAAGGACCCCTCTCCCCACCCAAGAATAGAGGCTCTTTGCGACTGGTTAGCTCATTGCTGGGGTTTGTTTTTTTTTTTAGCATCCCAAATAGTCCCCAGCGCACAGTAGGCACTGAACAAATAGGTGAATGAGTCAGGCAAGCACGTGGTGGAGGAAAGGGATGCTCACCATACAAGTGACAGCTGTATTGTGATAGGAAGTTGCAAGCAAGTGGCTAATAGTGAGGGTCCAGCAAACACAGGCCGAGCTGGCAAAGGCTTCCCAGTGGAAGTGACTGCCCGGAGTTCAGCCGGGGAATGGGAGGCACAGGGCGTATAAGGCAGGGGGAACAGTGTGACTCCAGCCCCAGAGCTGAGGGAGAGCAAGGTGCTACAGAGAGCCAGCGGAGTTTAGTCTGGGCATGGGCAGAGGACAGAGCGAGCTGGAGCAGGGAGAGAGGACACACGGGTGCTGGAGGTGCTTAGACTCTCCAGGAGTGACTGGGGGCGGGAAGGTTTCTAAGCAGAGTGGGAAATCTGGTCAGGTTAGCATATCAGAACCTCTCCTTCAGCCACCTGATGGAACAGGGGCTGGGAGCAGATATCTTCCTGGGGGAGCCTCGGGGCCCGGACTTGCAGGGGTGTAAACTTCAAGGGCTGCTCAGAAGGTGGGAGAGAGAGGATCTGGTGTCAGATGAGATGTGCCAGCAGGAAGATGTCGTTCTGTTGGGTGCGAGGTGCCCTTTGCAGAGAGGTCGTTGACCCACACGGTAGTCCTTATTTACGAGCACCTTTTGTTTGTTTGCACCACCCTCGGGGATCAGAGAAAGGAGATGAGGCCTCTTGCCCAAGGTCACATAACTCATCACATGTAACGAGGGCCTTGCTCCAACCCCTGGACTCTGGTTTGCCAAGGCAAAACAGTCCAGCCAGCGAAGAAGAGGCTTTGTAGCCATCACCCAGCTGGTGTGAAAGGCCCAAGAGTTAGGGCATGGTCCTATAGGAACAAGGAGCCATAGGAGGGTTTTGAGCCATTTGAGTGTCATGATCAGAACTGTCCTTTGGAAGGATCTCTAAGGACCAATTTAGAGGATGGATAGAGTGAGTGAGACCAGAGGCAGGAAGATAAATGCTTTCTCGATACCCAGGGTGGGGTGGGCCTGCTTTCCTCTGGGCCTTCTCCTTGGGTGTCTGGGTCAATCTGTGCCCAGAAAGAAGGTTTGGTCTTAGATAAATGAAAGCTCTGTGAGCCAGGGTGGTCCTCCTGCCACTGACCACTGCAGTCATATCCGAGGGGGCTCTGAGCTGGGTCCCTCCCGTGGACCCATTCCACATGCCTCGACCTTGAGACTAAGAGCAGCCTGTTTGTGTGGAACAGCTGATGGGCCTAGGCCTGGGAGGTGTGGCCTAGAGACTGGGGTATCACACCCATGGCTTTGTCTGTGCTCACCTTTCCATGTACCTGTCACAGAGAATCCAGGAGTCCTGCCAGAGTGGCACCAAGTGGCTGGTGGAAGCCCAGATGAAAGCCAGGAGCAGGAAGAGAGGGGCACAGAAGGACGGTAGCCCCCCAGCTCACAGCCTGGGCCAGAAGAGCACCCGGCTGTGTGGAGCCGCCCCTGCCCACTCAGCCACGGAGCCCTGGGACAGGGAGCGTCACCGCCTCTCTGTGCAGATGGGCCTGCGTACCCCCCGACTACGGCGGTCAAGGAGGGGGGCTGCCTTGCGGAGCCCCTACTCCTCGGCGGAGCCCCTCTGCTCTCCCAGGCAAGTGGGACAGTGCCCCTCCCCAGAGCTGGCGGCCTTTTAGCCCAGGCACAATTCTCCTTCCCTGACCTCCTCCCCAAACGCAAAGTGATCCCCAGGGGCTTTTGAGCACCTCCTATGGCTACCTGGAGCTAGGGGCACCCTAAGCTGAGTCACATCTGTGTTCTGACCCAGCTCTGCCCCTGGAGCTAGCAGGGAGAAAAATCCTTCAGGGCCTCAGTTTCCCCATCTGTAAAAAGAAGAGGTGAGCTTAGCTGCAACTATACAATCACTCAAACCTCCTGGTGAGCCCAAGAGCAGGTTTTGAAGCCATCTGGATGGCTGAGCCTCAGTTTCCAAGGGGGAGAGAGCAGGGCTCCCTGTCTGCAAAATCACTTGCCCGGGAGTGCAAGGTCTCCAGCAGGGAGACCTTGATCTGGCCATTCTCTGCCAGGTGCTCCAGTTCACTCTGATGTCACCTCCTGCAGTGACAGGGGTGAGGATTTCCAGCCCACCAGGGTCTGCTGGGCTGCAGACCAGGCCCCAGTGCTGGGTTGGGAGGGGCTCCTGCCACAGGCTTCCAACTAGTCCCTGGTGTGGCTTTTCCTTTTGTTCAGCGAGTCAGACAGCGACCTTGAGCCTGTGGGGGCAGGAATTCAGCATCTCCAGAGGCTGTCCCAAGAGCTAGACGAAGCCATCATGGCTGAAGAGAGGTGAGTGGGCATCCCACGCTCCAAGGTAGAATGGCCAGGAGGGCTCCCTTGAGCTGGCTTTGTAGGCAGCTGTTGGTTCTGGCTCTGACCTGCTGTGTGACCCTGTCCAGACCCTGTCCCTCTCTGGGCCTCAATCTCCCTCATCTCAAACATGAGAAAGGATGAAAGACTAGGATTGGAGTGACAGTAAAGGGTGTGCCCTGGATGTATTTGGCCCTCCGGGCCTTGGGCCCCCACATTTGTCCATCACCTGGAGCCTCACATGTGGCCAGGTACCTGATTCCTGAAAAGCCTGCCCTCCCTCCAATCCTCTCCATGGCTCCCCTGTGCCCTGCCTGCCCATAGAACTGGGAAGAGCAACATGGCTGCTATGGAGTTCCTGGTCTGTCTGCTCAGGACCCCATCCTGGGGACAGGACCTTGGTTCTGGATCTGCCCTAACTCGGGGCCATTTCCCCCTTTATATCATGGCCATGATGGATTCTTAGGCAGGGCCCTGCCAGCTCTGTCCATGTGTCGAGTGGCCAAGTTCCCACCAGATTTCCAGGTCTGGTCTCTCCAGGTCCAGACTGGGAGGGCCCCCTCAGAGCCGGGGCTCTCAGTGGCATCAATCCCTCCCCCTTTTCTCTAGCAGCGACATGACTGACTTTCTCATTCATGACTGAGGACAGTGCCCTGCAGGTAATGCCCTCCTCCTCCTCTTCCTCCTCCCCTTCCTCCTCATGCATGAGCACATATGTGTAAGCGTGTTAAAGAAATGAGTCTTTCCTGGAAACACCCGCAGAGCTGATGGGCACAGCAGAGTAGGAAGTGCACACGTCTTCCTCCCTGCACAGAGCCAGAGCCGCTAACCTCACTGACCCCGTCATTAACTGAGCGTGCTGGTGGCCCCTTCCAGTCCCCCATTTAGTGGTGAAAGCTGTGGTGTCCCCCCTTCCCCTGCCTTGCCAACAGCGAGGGGCACCCAGGGAGCTCTGTCTTGCAGGAGGCACGCGCTGTCTGACCACCGAGCCCTCACACCCAGGATGTCTGTGCTGCCCTGGTCCCACCCTGGAGGAGGCCCCCAGGGGTCGTCAGTACCCCTGGGCCACTGCTAACAAGGACCTGACCAACGAGGGGCCCAGAGCTCTCCTGCTCTGGCCACATCTGGACCCATCACTGGACCGCCTGCCGCAGCCTGAGAGTGACTTGGGGAGATCTTGGAGAGATGGGGGGATTGTTTCTTCTACTCCCTGGGGGACTCTCGGGCTTAGAAATTCATTCCACGCTTCATTCGATCTTGCCATTGCCTCATCTGTGATGGGAGGCACAGGCACCAGAAGGTGTCTGAGAGCTCTGAGCCGTGTCCCCAGGAGCAGGGTCTTTGGGGAGCCCGCCACAGACTCACCCACTGTGTCTCCAGGGCTGAGGCTCTTGGGGACCCAGCTCTCATCTCTGCTTCCCCCTTCCCCCACCAGGGCCTGGAGGAAACCCTAGGAGACCTGTCCAGGCTCAAGGCCCTAGTCTCCCCGGGTACCATTTATACGCTCAGCACAGGGCTCCGTGGGTGAGCCGGGAGCAGCAGCGCTATTCAAGAGTGATTTCTGCCCTTTGTAAATTATTTAAGAAATCTGCTTTGTCATTTTATTAGAAAGAAACCAGTGTGTGACTTTCCTAGATAACATTGCTTTTTCATAATAAACACTCTCTCTGCATCTGACATCTGTTCCCTTTCACTGCCAGCCCCGCCCCCGTGCCGCGCCACTCTGGGCGATAGGTTTGTGGCTTAGGGTCCAGCTTTGCTCCCCACCTCCGCCTCCACCCCCAGCCGGCCTGCCCCCGCCCCAGCCCTGGGGTGTATGTGAGCAAAGGGAGAGATTTCTTGAGGTGGTTTGGAACAATGCGCATTTTAAAGGCAAATAAAGTTTTTTATTTAAGTGACAACATTTGAGAGTTAAAAACCAGCTCACATCAAAATCAAGACCAGTTGTAAAAATCTTTTAACTCCATAATGCTGTTTTTGTCTTGTTAGAAATCTGGTATTTTACATTTTCTTTCCTAACGGATTTTGTACAAGGCAGCCGTAAGGAGTATAATAAACCTTTTTCACCACAGGACCATCCATCACAGAGAATACTGAAAGTGACACACTTAGGGACGGTCAGACCACGGACAGGGTCAGACTGGCTGCCACCACCAAGTAAACAAATAGAAAAGGACAGCGGGGTCCGAGGGTGGGGGTCCATGTGCACGAGCCGCCCTCCTCTGGCCTGCCCCTCCTTGGTGTCATCTGCCTCTCCTTTGTCCCAAGGAGGGTGGAGTCAAACTCGGATTTTCCTCCTGGCTGCCCTGTTGGTTCGCCAGCAAGGAGCAGAGCCCAGGTCAGGCCTCGGTGCTTGGACTTAACCCTAACAATGATTTTTAAGAAAGTTCCCCCAGTCCCAGATGGGAAGGAAGGAGGGGATGTTTCTTTTGGCTGAGCCAAAGAGAACAGGTTTCCAGAGCACTTGGCACCCAAACCCCCCAGGATTTGGTGGGAAAGTTGGTTGTTTAAGGCGGGGTCAGCTGGGAGGCTCCTCGCCCCTCCCAGGCGGGGCTGCACCTAGCTGGGTGGAAGAGTGTCCCGCAAACCCAGCGCTACCTCTGCACCCATTTCCACCTGCCTCGAGCAGGGCCCAGCTTTTTACAGACTGGTGCCACGTTTTGTCTGCAGGACACCTCCAGGGCATGAGTATGCACTCCAAGGTGGTAAAAATACAGTTTAAAAACCATGAGATCCAGCCTCCCCTCTTCCAGAGAGCCCACCAGCCAGTCATCTCTGGAATACTGGGGCTCAAACATGTTGGTTCGCTGGAGCCCAGCACCCAGACAGGAGGGCTGGCCATCCAAATGAGTGAAAGGGGTCTATTTAAAAAAAAAGATTGCAGAGCCTGAGGGAGACGTTGAGATCTTTAGGAAAAACCCATGATGTGGAAAGGGCAGGCCCCGGCTAAAATGCACCCTGAACCCCCAACAGGGCAAGTGGCAGAGGAAGGTGTGGCAGGCAGGCCCTCGGCCCGGACAGCCACTAGATTGGGAAGAACAAACATGCCACGCAAGAAACAAGGAGCTTTGGTCAGGCGGGAAGATCTGTTTTCCAGCTGCTGGGAAGCAGGCATACCAGGAGCTAGAAGAATTCTCTAGAAAACAGCTGGATTGGGGGGGGGGTCACAGAACGACTCAAGGAGAGGTGGCAGCACTCCCTCCAGAAAACAACATGACTTGGTTCTTTTTTTTTTCTCCAACTTAACTAGACAGACAATACTGAACGGACCACTAGTATAGAAAGTGCATGTGGGTTACATAGTTGCCGTGAAAGCAGTACTGAAACGTAAGTTGTCTCATCACTAAACAGAGCCACAGGTACACACGGTCACACACGCCAACTACAGCCCCAAGGGTGTTGTGTTCACAATATCTCACTGTACACCGTCAGCATCTCACGTGTGTGTCGTCAAAGCCCCAATCCGAGGCTCCAGAAAGGAAGGGGTGGTGGCCCTCCTGCTGGGTCCTGTGTCCCAGCTCCGACCCCCGGAGCCACAGAAGCCTGGTCACTCTGACTCAGTTCCCTGGGGATCCCAGCCCGCGCTCTCTCGCACACACACTCTCTCTCTCCTAGCCTGGGGTTCTCAGAAAGGGAGGAGGAAATCTAACTGGAAGCAAAGTGTCTCAGGCTAATTATTTTATCATTTGAGAGTAATACATCAGTGCCTTCTGCAAAAAGAAGATGGTGGAATCTCAGAAAATCAGACTAAGTCTGCCCAGGTTTAGATCAGGGCATGTGGGGCAGAGGTAGGAGGGGTCAGGGTTGAGGTGGCTATGCCTATGGAGACCCAAGAACGTGAAATGTATGTGTGGGGGGATGGGCACGTGTGAACCGCCAGGGAGGAAGCCGGGGCTGATCTGCACCCCTCGCCAACAGACTCCCAGGCGGCAGCGCTGGGCTTGGCTGCAGGGTGCAGTGCTGAAAGGAGCAGAAGAGCTGGCAGGCTGGAGAAGACACGTTTCTAGTGGAGAGAGCAGGGCTGAGGGCTGGGAGCCGGGAGCCCAGACCCCTCCAGCCCCAGGAGGGTGCCCAGTCTGCCAGGCGATTCACAACGGCGGTGCCAGCCGCCCCCACCGGCAGCTGCCATTAGCTGCGTGGGAGCTGCGAGAGGTAGACATTGAGCAGAAGCAACACCGAACTGACACGGGTGCCTGCTGTGCACACGGACATCAAGGCCCTGGGGCAGCCCGGCTGAAAGAGCTGGGACTGGCCTCAGCGGCAGCCCACAGAGACTCGGGGCAACCCCGGCAGCCGCACACAGCGGCGTGAGCCCGGGCCAGGGAGCAGGGGCCGGGCCAAGCAACAACAAGAAGGCCAAAACCCGCCAAACCCAAGGGAACGCCCAAGAAGAAAGAAAGGGCCCAAAACCAAGGGCAAGGGGAAAGGAAAAAAAAAAAAAAAGTGGAACCAAAAATCCAAGAAACCCCAAAAACCTGGAAGCTCAGCTCCACGCCTTCCAGGAGCCAAAAGGGAGACATCAGTCGGAGCAAAGCTGGGAAGGAGGACCCAGGTCAGTACCCTCTGGCGGGAGTCCGGGATGTTTCTATCCCTGCGACACCTGGTTTGGACATCAGGGCAAGGCAAACCCGAGGCAGCTCTCCAGGGGGGAGGGATCCCGTCCCAGCCCCTCTTTGAGGCAGTGGGACAGGAGCTCCTGCCTGCCGGCACCCCCGACCCCTCTCCCAGGCTGTGTGGAAGGTGTGGATCACCGGACACTCCGAGGGGCGCTTGGGCCTGAAAAGCCTCAGGGTGCAGAAGCACAGGACAACCCAGGAGTCAAAAACGCACACCAGTCTCAGCTGGGGCCCCTCCAAGCACAGAAGGCCGGCAGGGCCCAGAGAGCGCAAGCAACAGGCTCAAGGGCTCACAGCCAGCCCAGCTGGGCCAGAGCCCAAGGCTGCAGCCTCACGGAGGGCACAAGGCAAGACTATAGGAAGAGGACACCGGCCCTCAAGGGCCACAGGAAAACAGGGAGGAAACTGGGGACAAGAAGGGGCACAATGGACAGCTGCAGGAGGACAGACCGTCAGCACCAGGCCCCGGCCCGAGGGCTGTGGACAGAGTCCACATACACGAGGACAAGCCCAGGGGACCTCCTCTCACTCCCAGAAGGTGGCCAGTTGGCCGTAAGAGAGCCAACTCCCAAATGGTGAGCCAGCATGTCACAAGGAGGGCTGGCACAAATGCCACTCACCCCTCCGCAAGGCAGCCGAGAAGCTGTACGCGCCAGCAGCGGCTGGTCCCCGGGCAGGGCTGCTCTCCGTAGGGCCTGCCTAGCGTGGCTGTGACGCCTCGGGGACTCCGGATGGTCGACTTTGCCCCAATACTGCAGCTCCGGGCGGGCCTGGCCCCCGGGGACTACACGAACATTTAACCCCGACTCGGGTTCGCGGTCACAGGCATGCGGGAGGCAGCCGCAGCCGCGCGGAGACCCCCGGACCTTACCCCGTGGCAGCTCAGGGAACCCCCCAAGACCGGACAGGGTCCCTCCCCGCTCTGGTCGGACAATGCTGGACAGACACGGGAGGGGAAAAGCAGGAAAACGCCCGTGTCCGGGAGAGGGCAGCCCCTCCCGTCCGCGCAGGCAGCCCCCGCGACAGCCTGGTCGGGCCCCCCTGCTCCGAGCACAGCCCGCCCCTCAGGGCACCGACTCGAACTTGGGGGGCCCACGCGCCCAGCTGAGCGCGGGCAGCGGCCGCTCGTGGTCCTTGTCCGACTCGGGCTGGCTCTGCGCCCGCTCGGGCTTGGGGTTGGCGGGCGGGTCGGGCTGCTGCACCGACATGGTCCTGCGCAGGTGGTTGCGCTTCCGCAGGAACTCGGGCTGGGCGTGCAGCCCGAAGCTGCCCTTGCGCAGGATCATGCGCGAGTTGTTCTTCTTGGGGCGCGAGCGGTGGCTGGCCTCCAGCGCGGCCAGGTGCGCGGCGTAGCCCTCGCTCAGGAACTGCGGAGGGGACAGGCGTCAGGCCCACCGGCCCTGTCCCCACAGCATGGCTGCTTCCCAGGGCCACCCGACCAGGTGTCTCCAGCTTCTCCCAGAAACCCCATTCCAGAGTCCCCATCCACTGTGCACTTCTCTCTGCACCAGTGGGTCACTCAAAAGCTCTCTAGATTCTTGATGGGGATGAAGTGCCCATCCTTGTCACTCTCCCTAAAATCCTAAAACATAAGTCCCTCCAGTCATCCAGCGTCTACCCATGTATCTCACTTATTTTTCTGACCCCACAGCGGCCCTTCCTGCCAGACTCTGTATCCCCAGAAAGTGTGGCCTGGGCCAGCAGCAGCAGCAGCACCTGGACCCTTGGTGGGCAGACTCTCAGGCCCCACCCAGGCCACGGATTCTGATCCCCAGGTGATGCGGCTGCGCTTTCCAGTTTGAAGAGCAAGGCTCTAGAGCTGCCCCCTCCGAGGGGCCACCATCTTCTGCCCCTTCCCCTGCTGGTCACTCTCAGGCACCTCACACTCCCAAAGGGAGGTCATCTCCTTGCCTTCCACCTACTCCTCCTCCAACCCGCTTCTCTTTTTTTTTGAGACAGAGTCTCACTTTGTTGACCAGATTAGAGTGAGTGCCGTGGCATCAGCCTAGCTCACAGCAACCTCAATCTCCTGGGCTCAAGCGATCCTCCTGCCTCAGCCTCCCAAGTAGCTGAGACTACAGGCATGCGCCACCACACCCGGCTAATTTTTTCTATATATATTTTTTAGTTGGCCAATTAATTTCTTTCTATATTTAGTAGAGATGGGGTCTCCCTCAGGCTGGTTTCGAACTCCTGACCTCGAGCAATCCACCGCCTCGGCGTCCCAGAGTGCTAGGATTACACCAACCTGCTTCTCAATCCCAACAGTGGCACCTCCGACCTGGTCACCCAAGCCAGAAACCAGGGTGTGGGCCTGGGCTAGAACTTTCTTTCACCCCACACATCTGATCTGTGCATGCCAAATCCATCCCATGCCCTGCCTTAGAAAGCCCGCTCAGACCCTCCACGTTCTCTCCAACTCCTTCCCTGCTACCTTCCACTCCTCTGACCCACCTTCCACCTGCAGCCTGAGGAAGCTTTCTAAATCACACACTGGGAGGATGACAACTCTGGGGACAGAGTCCTATCTGAGCAAGGCACACAGCCCACCTCGGATGCAGTTACCACCCCAGCTCCCCTCTCCCCTCTCCCTGCCCAGATCGCACGCAGCCAAGCTCAGTCTCTGGCGGTTCCCAGAATATACTGTTCTCTGTCACCTCCTGACCTTGGCTGCTGCCTCTGCCACAAATGCTCCTCCCAACCTCAGCCCCTTCCTTTCCTGGGCTATCCCTCCAAATTCCTGAACGCAAGCTTGCCCTGGCGTCTGGGTTAGCTGCTCCTGTCTAGTGCCCCCCAAGTCTCTGTGCTCCCATCAAGGCACTTGCCACACTAACCCATCACGGACTGCAGATGTTTCCATCTCCCCAGTAGACTGGATGACGTCATATCTGATTCCTCCGGGGATTGGGCCCTGTACTCAACACAGGCCCTGGCCCACGGCAGGTGCCCCATAGTGTTTGTTGAATGAATGAATGATTGAGCAAATGAAGGAATGAACAAAGAAACGAACTGCCTACTCCCCTGCCAACCGCTTTCCCTGACCACCCCTGCCACCGGCCCAGCCTCCACCCACCTGGCACTGGGTTTGGTACTTCTTGGTGGGCCGGCCCACGATGAAGATCTGCGAGGCTGGCAGGCCCAGCACGCTGTAGACGGAGATGTCCTTGGTGGAGCCGTAGGCAGCGCTGATTCTGATGAAACACTGAAACACAGGCGGCTCGTGAGGGAGGGAGGGGCCCCGCCGACCTCCCCGGAAGGCTTCCTAGACCAATGTGGGGAGCCCCTGCTTGGGGACCCTTCATCTGCGCTCTGTTAGACTCCAAGCCATGGGTCCACCCTGTGTCAGGAACAAACCCCCAGAGCGGCTGTGCCTCCCTGCACCCCAGGCCTGACACAGGGGCAGGGCTCTGCCCAGTGAACAGTCATGACCACACCAGGCACTGACCCCACCGCGGACAGCACTGCACCAGGTTCTATAACAAGAGGCAAAGCATTCCTTCGCACGTGAGGAAATCGAGTTGCAGGTTCACGCATCACAGGGCCAGACTGGAGCCAGGTCTGGCCTCGGACCCGGTGCTGTCCGTACCACACCAGGCTGTGGCTTGCCATTTGCCCGCTGCCTCTTGCTGGCTGGTCTGATATCCTCCCCAGAAGCCCCAGTCCAGTTCCACAAAATGCCCGAGACCCTCCCTGCCCCTGGGCCCCTCCAGATCATCACCCTCCCCCGTCCCACCCCCCATCCCACCTCACTGGATGAAACTACCTCCTGCTTTGCGGTGCTCAGCGCCCCATCAGTGCGGTGCTCACCGTCCCCATCTTTTCTCCCACTCATGCTCCCCCCAAGTTCACAGGCAGCTTTGGTCCTGGGTCACAGCTTCCTTCCTCCCATGCCCCACCACTGCTGGGATGACTTCCTGTCCCTGAGGATCACTTACTACCCCCTCACCTTCCTTTTCATCAGTGGCCATCACTTCCAGGTCTGAGCCCAGAACCTCCCTCTGGACTCTGAACCTGCACGTTCCAGCTCTGACCAGTGCTTCTGCCCCCGACATCCCTGCCGGCCCCCAACCCTGCTGCTCTCAAGTTTTCTGCACCCACCCTCCTCCCTCACGCCCCCTTCCTCCTCCTGGCTGGCCACCCCATGGCATCCCAGTGTCCTCTGACTCCACCAGGGATTCTCTTCCCTCCTGCTACACAGGCCCAGCCAGACCTCAGCCCTGGTTTTTTCCACCGCCCACCTCCCTACACACTGGCTTGAGAACTGCTAGAGAAACTCCCAAACCATGCAGCTCTCGCCCGACATAGTCTTTCTGTCCCTCCCTGAGCCCCTACCCGATCCTGCAAGTGACTTTGCTTTTGATGTTGAACCAGAGAAGGCTTCCTCAGTGGCCGGTTCATTCCCAGCTGGCCTGTGGCTCAGAGGAAGACACAGACCCTTTTTGTCCCATTTGGCCAAGCTCACTCCTGTCTCTCCACTCCCTCCAGCTCCAGTGGCCCTGCCTCCCACCCCCAAAGTGGAGACCCACCTTCTCTGCTCCTCCCTCTGCTTCTTCTGCCTGCTTGTCCCCCTGTGGTGTCCCTTCCTCACCAAAGCCATCCCGTGGCCAATATTCGTCTCTCAGGCAGTTCTCACCAAACCACACGTCTTTCCAGAAGGGCACTGTCTCCTTTGAAGGCCTCTCCTCCCGGACACCTGCAGCATCTCTCCCCTGGCCCCTCCCCCTCCGCCCCTCCTCCTGCTCCCTCCGCAGGCCCCTCTCCCAGCTCTCAGGGCCCCTTGCAGCCTCCTCTCGCTCTTGCCTCTGCCCAGGAGATGCCTCCTTCCATGGCTTCACTGGCCTGCCTCCAGCCTCCACCTGCAGCCCAGACCTCTCCCCAAGCCCTATGGCATCCCACAGCCATGGCAGCCTCAGCATGCCCACAGAGTGCTTTGCACACTGTCATAATTCTTCCATTGTAGCACAAGAGCGACCAGAGAAAATACCTTAACAAATGAGCCTGGCTGTGTTCCAGTAAAACTGGGCTCATCCTGCCCCCGGCCTGGTCCTCCTCCTGTGTGCCCTCTCATTTCACTCATTCATTCATTGCACTAACATTTATTAAGTGCCTACTGTGCCGCATCCTTGCCCCAAATCCCAGAGATCTGTTGGCGAGCAGAACAGACACAGACTCTGCCTCGATGGAGACCCCGGGCAGGTGAGTAGCCCCTGGATCCTGCCTGGTCACCATCATGGACATCTGAGAGCTCCTCGCTCCCTACCTCCAACCATCACTGGGTCCTGACGGTTCCACCTCCTGATTCTGTGACTGCCCATGCCTTCTCGCCATCCCATGGTCATCACCTGGATCCTGGTCTTCCTGTCTTTTGCTTGGGCCACAGCCTCCACACTGGCCTCCCTGCCTCTCACTTCTCCTGCCAGTCTGCTCCCCACACAGCTGCCAGGAGGATCTTTCTAAAACTCCTATTAGACACTGCCACTTCCCTGCTTTAAACTCTTCCATGGCTGCCCATTGCCCTCAGCAGAGAGTTCACGGTCTTGGCCTGGTTTCCAAGGATTTCAAGGCCTGCCACCCTTGGGCCCCTGATGACCTCTAAGGGCTCAGCTCCCACGTGTCCTGAGTCTGACCCTGCCTGCACAGACCCCCTTCCTGGGTGCCTGCAGATCTGAGAGCCTCCCAGGCTCTTTCCTGCCTCTGTGCCTTTGCACGTGACCCACCGCTCATCGTCTGCCTGACAAACTCACACTCGTGATTCAAGACTCAGCTCAAAAGTTACTACCGTGTTTCCCCAAAAATAAGACCTACCCATACAATAAGCCCTAGCAGGATTTCTAAGCATCTGCACAATATAAGCCCTACCCCGAAAATAAGACCTAGTGATCGGTGTATCACTAGGTCTTACGCAGAGTATCTGCACAACCCATGCATTTTGTCGCGGAGCAGTAAAGAAGACGAGCAGCCCTTCTCTTCTGCCCCATGAGAGCTCTATTGCTCAACTTGAGAGATTGGGGCCAATGGTTCTAAAGGAAATAGAGTTGCAAGAAATTCAGGATGGAATTCCGGGATTTGGAGAGTGATGATGATGTTCCAGAAGAAGACGACTTAACTATATTTGAATAAATGTAGATTGTTGTACCGTACTTAAAAAAAAATAACACAGCCCATGAAAATAAGCCCTAGGGTGTCTTCTTGAGGAAAAATAAATATAAGACCCTGTCTTATTTTCAGGAAAACACAGTACCTCCCAGCTGCCTGCCCTGACCTCCCAGGCAAACGTAAGTCCTTTCTCCCCTGTTTGCAAAATAGGGCCGTTTTCAGCCACACACCAGCAATTTACATGTCTTCCTTCCTCTAGATCAGAGAGTCACAGGCTTTTTCTGTGAAAGGCCAGATAGTAAATATTTTAGGCTTTGCACTCTGTCATAATTCTTCCACTGTAGCGCAGAAGCAACCATAGACAATACATAAACAGATGAGCTTGGCTGTGTCCCAATAAAACTATTTACGGACACTGAAATTTAAATTTCATATCATCTTCACGTGTCATGAAATAGCATTATTCTTTTGATTTTTCTCCCAACCATTCGAAAGTGTAGAAACCGTTCTTAACTCACAGGTCCTATAAAAACAGGCCGTGGGCTGGAGTTAGCCCTCGTTCGTCAACCCCTGCTCTAGATCAGCAATTCTCAAATTTTTTTCTGTGCATCAGAATCCCCTGGAGGGCTCCAGTCCCCTTTCCAGACTGTTGAATCAGTAGTTCCAGGGTGGAGCCAGAGAATTTGCATTTCTACGGAGCTGCTGAGGTGCTGGTCCCAGGCCCACTGTGAGAACCACAGCTCTAGGTGGTGAGCTCTGGAGAGCTTGTCTCGTGTTCTGTTTATCTCTGTGCAGCCCAACACCAAGCACGGAGTAAGGAACTGGGTGGGCACTTAAATGTCTATTGAATGAATAAGCAGATGTAGAGACAAGAGTCAAGAGATAAAGGATGGAAGTCCGGGCGAGGTGGCTCACGCCTATAATCCCAGCACTCTGAGGGGTCAGGTGAAAGGATGGCTTGAAGTCTGGAGTTCGGTGTAGGGCAGAGGAATTTGTAGGACAGAGGAAGGGCAGAGGAATTCTTCCAATTGTTGGGAATTTACTTGGGTGGGGCAGTGAGCTAACTGCAAACCTTTGCTTCTGGTCATTGCTTGCTTGCTACACGGCTGTAAGGGGAATTATGGGATGAGGTCATTAAAGCACGGGCAACTGGCCCATCAGGCAATAGAGGGCAACCAACCCGCCAATTATTTCAAAAGGCAATAGTGGGCAACCAATCATTTTAAAGGTCAACGCATGATCCATGCGTAGTCAGCTTGTGCGCAGCTTGTGCACCATGGGGATAAAAGGCATGCCGTTGTTCCGGCCGGGGTCCTTGCCTGCGAGAGTGGCCACTGCGTTGGTGCTCTGGGGCTTGGACCCTGGCTAGCCAGAAAATAAACCTCCTCTTGTGTGATTGCATCCTCGATGTCTCTGCTTCTCTGTCCGGTGGGGCTGTGGAAGGTCGGTCCCTAACATTCGGGACCGGCCTGAGCAAGAGCGAGAGCCCATCTCTACCAAAAATGGAAAAAAATTAACTGGGCATGATAGTGCATGCCTGTAGTCCCAGCTATTTGGGAGGCTGAGGCAGATGGATCACTTGAGGCCAGGAGTTTGAGGTTGCTGTGAGCTGTGATGACACCACTGCACTCTAGCCAGGGCGACAGAGTGAGACTCTGTCTCAAAAATAAATAAATAAATAAATAAAAATTAAAAAAAAATGGAAGTCTGGCTCCCATCCGAGTCAAGTCATCTGAGCCTCGCCTTCAGTCAGTGAAGATATTACCTGCCTTACAAGGCCGCCAAAAGGACCCAATAAAATCCTGGGGAATGGGCTTTGCAAACCACACATGTGTCCCCTGAGGCCCCACGGGATTGAGGGAGGAAGGGCGAGGAGGAGGGTCCCATCCCACCCCCCCCACCCCCACCCCCACTCCCACCCCAGGCCTTCGGGGAAGCGCTGCCCTGCCCGCCCGCCCAGCCGGGCACTCACCTCCTGCATGAGGTTGCGGAGGAAGATGGCCTTCTGCCGCAGCGGGTCGTGCACCAGCCCATCCGAGAAGAAGATCATGCCCTGTGGGAAGTTGTGCTGGGACAGCCACGACACCACCCGCTGCTTCTGCATGTCCGGCCGCCCCGTGATGTAAAGGATCATGTAGCCCAGGTCCTGCCAGTGCCTGGCGAGACGGCATCGGAGGGTCCACCCCTGCCCCGCGCAGGCCACCCACTGCCCGGAGGCCTGCCCCGCCCACAGGAGCCCTCCTGAGAAGTCAGAGGGGCTGTTCTGAGAGGCGCCCGGGAAAACAAGGGGGTCCCCCAAATCCACACTCCAGGCTGCGTCCCGGGAGTCCTGGACTCCTCCTGTGAGGGGCTGCAGCCCACCACTGCCCACTCGCCCGAGGCTGCGGTTCCCTGTGCCCCCCACCGGCTGCCCCAGTGAGCCTCCCCTCGCCACTGCTCCAGGCCAGGGTCTCTCCCCCCACCCCCAGCCTTCTCTTTTTAACCACACCTCTCACCCTTAGCACAAGCCCCATCTCCCCTGGGGCCACCGCAAATGTCTCCTGGGTGCCTTCTTTCCCCCCACCTCCTGCCCCCACTCTAACCTGGGCCGTGCAACCTTGGGCAGGTTCCTTAACACCCCCCACCCTCCGCAGGGTTTCAGTTTCCCCATCTGCAAAATAAGGGCAATAATAGTATCTCCTAAGGATGAAAGGAATTAATCCCAAACATGCCTGGCATGCTGTGCTCCATACAGTGGCTTCATTGTTATCCTCCCTACTGTTTCCATGGCAACTTCCCCAAATCACAGTCCTAACCCCAGTACTCCTTTGTCTAAAGGCATTTCCAGGTCCCCAGTGCCCTGAGATAAAGTCTCCATGCAGCTGTCTGTACCTGTGGCTGTGACCCCTGCTCTGCCCCTGCCCGTGGGACCTCCCCAGCCACAGGAGCTGCCCCTGGACAAGCCCTGAGCTCTCTCCTGCTCCCCTGTACAGCCCTCGGGGCTCCGTCAGTCTGCTTAGATTCACATGCCCTGTCTTTCAAGGCCCCCTCCTCCAGGAAGTCTCCCCTGCTTCCCAACCAGAACTGCCCTGTTTCCTCTTCATTCTCACAGCACAGTGGGACAGTCTCCCTCCACTAACCTCCCACAGAATCCTGGCTGCCAGGTGTCACATGAGCCCAGACCTCTGTGGGCGCCCCTGTGGCACTAGCCACCGGAACATAGGCTGGGGAGTTCTAAACCTGGATGGTGATCAGATTTGGGGAGGTTCTGTGAAAACACACAGGTGCAGGCATCACCTCCAGGGATTCTGGTCAGTTCTCAGGTTGATGTAAAGCAGTTTCCCATAGGAAGGAGGTGAGAACACCATGAATGTCCAGAGAGGAAGGACCACAGCTCCCCCCCTTCCCTGCTGCAGGAGAGGGATGCTGACTCAGGAGGGGTTTGCTGTCATGGGAACAGACCCCCGGGACCTGCAGCGGGGAGGCTGGCCCCTGAGATGGGCTCCAGCCTGTCCAGCCTGTCCCACAGAGCTGCTGGGCGCTCCGAGGGCAGCAGTCTCAGGAGCCCGGGGAGCAAGGCCAGTCTTGTCTCCTCAAAGCCATCGTGGTTACTGGGGTGAGGCAGGACAGTGCCCAGCCCCAACCCCAAGAACACCCAGTGCCTGGTGTCTGCCTCATTCTCAGGGTTCCCATCCCCTGGAGTCCTGGGTCACAGTTTCTCGTGCCCATGACCTGCCCACAGAGCTGGCCCACAGTTAGCCTCAGAAAAGGGTGGATGGGTGCACGGGCGGAGGGAGGGAGGCAGGGAGGGAAGGGAGGGAGGAAGAAAAGAAGGAAACGAGGAACAAAAGGGCTGAGATCCAGAAAGGGGGAGAGATATTCCCAAGGACCCTCAGGAAATTGCTATTGGCGGTAAAGCCAGGGCTGCTCAGCTCTGGGCCCCAGAGACCAGTAGAATTCCTAGAGGAAACCAGAAAAACAACGCGTCTTCGCCAGGGCTGCTGGCTCCTGTCCCCAGCAGAGACATACCCCTCACGGGAGGTAGCACTCACCGGACAACGTCCACTGCACCCGGCCGGACCTTGGGGTCGCTTCCCATGATAGACACGCTGGCCGCGAAGGACCCATCGATGCTGAACACGACGCACTCCATGCCGCGGGGCAGCACCGTGAGGTAGCTCATGGCACAGGTCTGGTCGCCCCTGCAAGGAACCTGCCTGTGGTCAGCCCTGCGGGGAGGCTCAGGTTGGCCTGAGGCCAGAGGTCAGCCCGTAGATGCAGTTAGAGCCCAGCCTGGGGCCAGGGACAGAGAGCATCTGGGTGGCACCAGGAGACCGTCCCCATTTTCCTCTGTCCACGAAGACAGAGGCGGGGCCCAAAGAAAGCCCCGAGCGCCCCATCTTCTGGACAGGCCTGGCTGGAAGAGCGGTGCAAATGGAGAAACCGCCATGAGCCTGTGCCCCTGGGCCTTACCTGACGACCATTTTCACTGGGTAGACGCCGACCCCCAAGCGCCGGGGCCGCGGCACGTTGTATGTGATTCGCCCACTACTGTTGGTGATCTCCGTGTCCAGGTGTACCCAGCGGCCGGAGGACGGCTCTGCCATCACCAGGATGTCCACCTGCAGGCAGGGAAGGGGGTCAGGGGACTCCTTGGAGGCTGCGGGGCTGCAGGCGTGGCGGAGGGGCTGGGCTGGGGAGCTCTGGGGCTGCAGCTCCTTTGTTGTTTGTTTTTTGAGACAGAGTCTCGCTTTGTTGCCCAGGCTAGAGTGAGTGCCGTGGCGTCAGCCTGGCTCACAGCAATCTCAGACTCCTGGGCTCAAGCAATCCTGCTGCCTCAGCCTCCCGAGTAGCTGGGACTACGGGCATGCGCTGCCATGCCCGGCTAATTTTTTCTAAATATATTAGTTGGCCAATTAATTTCTTTCTATTTATAGTAGAGACGGGGTCTTGCTCTTGCTCAAGCTGGTTTCAAACTCCTGACTTCGAGCAATCCGCCCACCTTGGCCTCCCAGAGTGCTAGGATTACAGGTGTGAGCCACCGTGCTCCCGGCCTGGGGCTGCAGTTCCTGCCTGACATTCCCCGGCCCCCTCCGCCCTCCCTCCCTCTCATGCGGGCCTCTCACCCCTCAGAGGCAGCGAGCTCCTCCTACACTCCATGCTCGAGCTCCTCCTACACTCCATGCTCATCCTCCGGACCTGCCGACCTGCGGGCAGGGCGTGGGGCTCCCTGCGCTGTGCTCCCGCTCCAGGCAGCCCGGCCCCCTGGAGCCCTCGCCCCACATGCCATGTGGTCTCACAAGGCACCTAGTGGACCAGCTGAGGAGGGCACGGGGGCCCCGGGTACCTTCTCTCCAGTCAGGGCCACCATGTCCAGAGGGCCGTACATGAACCGCCCCACCAGGACCTGGGGGCCGTCTTCGGCCGCAATCACATCGTTGGCCCGGTGATTAGCAGTGACGTTCTAGAAGGACAGGAGAAAGCCGGCTCAGCCTTTGCAAGGGAGACTTAAAGCGTTCTTAGCATTGGCTGGAGGGGCGTGGGCCTACTGAGTCACGTCTTCCTATGAACTTCTGCTAGGGTTCCAGAGATGTGTTCCCGTGGAACCCACGAGAAAAACAGACGAGAGCCCCTAACGGCATCTTCCGGGCGCACTGGGCTTCCTGCAGATGTGCGGTCTCTGCCTCCGACTCTCCCGCACCGCCCGGGCCGGCGGCCGGCCTCCCCCTGTCCTCCTCCTCTGGATTCCCAGGCTGGGCCTGCCCGGTCACTTCTGGTTCTTTCCCCTACATCTCAGCTCGCATCCAACAGCCGCCACGTACCATCTGTCGTTTTGTGAGATGAAAAATTTCTAATTCCAAGAGGAGAGAGAGAACAGCACAGCAAAGCCTCGTGCGCCGGCACCGGCTCCACCACTTGGCAACTAACTCCGGGCCGGGCCGGCTTCCTGCTTCCCTGCCCAGACCCCGCGCAGCCCCCGCCCCACCCGGATCATGCTGGAGCAACCGCAGCTATCTCAACATTCCCATTCTTCCTCACTTCTGGTTCCAGTTCATTCCGCAGCCCCAAGGCCCGCGCTGGCCCCAACCACACTCCTGTCCCCGCCTGGCCTTTGAGACCCGAGTCTCTCAATCTGCTGACCCTTCCTTTATTCCTATTGGCCACGTGTTCATCTCTCCCACGGTCACATGACCCCGCGCTGGGACTCTGCTGATAGCTCCCCAAAGGAGCTCGTCACTCAAAAGCAGTCCCTGCGCACGACTCCTCTTCCTTTATAGAGCACCGGTGTGTGAACAGCCCTCCAGGCCCCTTGAGAGCCCAAATCCTGAGCTCAAATCCTGAGTCCAAATCCTGAGTCCTTCTGAGCTTTGCCTGAGCAACCTCTTCAGTCTTGTCTCTTGCTCCCCGTCCACACCTTCTGGTCCTTTCCACCAGGCTCTGCAGCAGCCTCCAGGCCTTCACTCACACTGGTCCCCCTGGGGACCACCCCTGGCCCTCTGTCCCCACATTCCACCCCATCCACTATGACACACTCAATTTTATCCTCTCCAAGAAGCATTCCTTGGACACCCCGATGATGCGGTTTTGACCTCCTCTCAATTCCCACACATTTAAATTCCATCTAACAAGCATCTGCAGACACTTCATGTGCACCAGTCTCTGAAAGGAACCAGCCATAGGCCCTACCCAGAGACCCCAGCCAAGCGGGGGACACAGGTTCCCTCACAGAAGCAGGGGAATAAGCACCTGAACAGATGCTCTTCGAGGTCACTAGTCTCCAGGGAAACGCAAATCAACACCGCGATGCAATACCCGGACCCACCCACTAGGATGGCTGGAATCAAAGAGACACATAATAACAGGTGTTGTGGAAGACGTGGAGGGGAGGAATCGGAACCCTCACATGCTGCTGGTAGGGACGGAAAACGGTGCAGCTGCCGTGGAAAACAGCCTGGCAGCTCCTCAAATGATTAATCACAGAGCTACCATTGGATCCAGCAATCCCACTTCTAGGTATATGCCCAGGAGAAACGAAAACATACGTCTGCCCAAAAACATATATGCAAATGTTTATAGCAGCATTAGTCATAATAGCTAAAATGTGGAAACAGCCCACCAATGGATGAATGGGCAAAGTGCAGTATAGCCATACAGTGGAACATTACTCAGGAATGAAAGTCTGATCCCACTACTCTGAAATGTCCAGAATGGGCAAATCTGCAGACAGAAAGTAGATTACTAATCACTTAGAGCAGTGCAGGAAGGAGAGGGTGGATGACAGCTAAAGGGCATGCAGTTTCTTTTTCAAGATGATAAAAATGTTCTAAAATTGACCATGGTAATGTTTGCACACTTCTGAGAATATACTAAAATCCACTGAATTGTATACCTCTTTAAATGGATGAAATATATGGTGTGTGAATTATCTCTCAATACGTTTATGAAAAAAAAGTCAATTTGTGTAGCATTGATCACCCTCTACTCTTTAGGATTGCTCTTGGGGTCCTAGTCTGATCTTCTCACTGGATTGGAGGTGCCCACCATGGCAATGGCTGTGTCTGTACATCCCTATGCCCCTTTCTCTAGCAGAGGGATTGAGACAGAATAGGCACTGATGATGGTTTGCTGAGTGAATAAGTAAATATATGCATCTCAAACTCCTATTCATCCTTCAATACCTTAAAGAGGAGCCTCTTCTTCAGAGAAGCCCCACATTTGGACCTGCCCCGACAAAACTTCTTTCCATCTTTGTGCTAATCTGTGCCTCCCTCTATCGTGGCTAATATCACACCAGGCCACACTCAATGGTAGTCAAACTAAGAACCCTGTGGCCGCAAGCAGAGCTCTCCGATTCAAGTCCGTGTCTACAGAAACCCAGCACGTAGCAGTTGCTCCAAAACTGGCATCTCCTCACCTTCCCCGGTGTCCTGGACCCCATCCCTGGGTCTCCGGTGAAGCCAGGCAATGGAGAACCAACTCACATACCCTCCTTGCTGCAGTGCCTGGGGCGAACCAAGCCCTCACTGCTGTGCGGACGCCCCCACCTCCCTGAGGCCACGGTCCCAGCCACGAGACCCCAGCATGCACATACCCGCAGCTTGACCTGGGTCCGCTTACGAAGCCACTTCTCACGGGGGTTCGCGGGGCTCAGTGCCGCAGGATCCAAGCTGGCGCTCTCCTTGACGCCCACGTTCTCGTAGCGCATCACCTGCCCGACGACAGCCCGGAGGCCTCCCGGTCAGGCCCTCGGGGCCCCTCTCCCTCCCTCCCAGCTGTCGGGGCCTGCCAGCTGGTGGCCAGCTGGGCTCCCACCCACCTCCCAGTCTGGGACCTCCAGGAAGCTCAGCACCCAGGACCTGTGTCCCTGCCCACCCGTCCTGACACCGGGGACCAGAGAACCCCCTCCCTAATAGCTCTGTTCCTGGGAGGAGCCTCTGTCCTCCAGGCCCGAATCTAGTGGCTACCTGCACCTGTGCACGTTCTCTGCCCTCCCTCTTGTTATGACAGGTGGCCCTTACCTAAGGCCACCTGGAGTCCTGATCCCAGCCCCCACCCTTCTCAAGGCTGTGTCCCCAACAAGGTTCCACTCTCCATCCTGCATCGCCGATTAGCCTCCCTGTGCTCGCATTTTCCTTAGCATCCAAACGTGCTGGGACATTGCCCATCTTTTAAAAATACTCCCTCCAGGACCCTTGTGCCTCGCTTCCACCCGCTCCAGCCGGGCTCTGTCCCCATCACTCTACTGAGGCCATTCTTGCGGAGGCCCCTGTGACTTCCAGCCTGCCTGCGTCAGAGGTCCACTCCTGTCTTCCCTCCCTGGGTGCTCCTCCAACCTCACCAGATGTCCTCTTCTGTCTCCTTCTGTGGCTCCTCCTTGTGCCCCCCTCCCCCCCCCAAGCTGCAGGACTCCTCCCTGAACTTCTCTGTCCCTAGGAACAACCTTGGGGTGGCGCTCACCACCAGTTTTAAATGCCATCCCAGCTCTGATGACTCCCACATTTTTATCTCCAATCCTGATGTCTTCCCTAAGCTTCAGGCTCATCATCTATTCACCTTCCCCGACCTCCAATGCCTAATGGGCGCCTCTCATTGCACACGTCCAAACGCCCAGCCCTGCTCTTCCTAAGTCCCAGGAAATGGCACCACCATAGGTGCTCAAATTGGGCTCCCCACTTGCCCTCGAAGCCCAGACACCCACAGGCATCCCACCGAACCCCAGTGCCTCCACACCACCAACCTAGCCCAAGTCGTCACCTCCAAGTTGGGCTCCTACACTTGTCTCACCGGGGACCTCATGGTCCCTCTCCTGCCCCTAAGCAGCAGCTCCAGGGTGTCCTCCTAAAAATACCAGTCAACTGATATTTCCTCCTTGGGCTTCTCACTGAACCTAGTATAAAACCACACCCCGACCTTGGCCATGGAGGCTGCCTGTGAACCGACCCCCGCCCACCCCCGACCTCCTCCCCCACTAGGCTCTCCCTGGGGCACTGGCCTTTCTGCTGCACCTTCTGTTCTGCAGTCGGGGACATTGAGGCGCAGCGGGGAGTGGGGGGTTACTACTCTAGCCTCCAAATTGAAATGTCGGTGCATTCTCCTGTGTAGTTTCTATTTAATTTTCTAGAAGGTACCATGCCATCAGCCACACAGAAGCCAATGTTCTTTATGAAAGCCATTCTCTGACCATGTCCCACCCCCACCCCACCCCCACTTGTTGAAGTGCTCCGATGCCTTCCCAGAGCCCTTAGGGTAAAGACCAAATGCTCAGCATGGCCTGCGAGAAGCTCCCTCTCCAGACCGGGAAGGGTGGCACCCCAACAAGTGCCCGCAGGCTCCGGGGAGGCAGCAGCAGTACCTGTCTCAGGATGAAGGCCACCACGTCAGTGGACTCCCAGTAGCTGGCGTGGAAGAGGTGGGGCAGGGCCACTGTGGGGAAGGCTGTGAGGACATCCGGGCAGTACAGGGCGTAGTCGATCCGCTTGGCACCCCACCACCTGGCCGTGACTGCAGGTCGGACGGGGAGGTGAGGACGAGTGGCCTGCGGGGGGCCTTGACCCACAGGGCAGTGATGGACGGACTCCCAGCACACAGGCCCAGCGGGGGATGTGCCACTTGGGCACGAGTTTGGGGCAGGAGCACTGACTGGGCCCTGAATGAGCTCTGGGACGCGTGCTGCTCCTCCTCCTGCCCCACCAGCCCTGCTCTAAGCTGTGTGCTCCAGCCTGGTCCCCAGGAACCAGGGCCAGACACCGAGACTGCAGTCTCGCCCCAGGGCAGAGCTCAGCAGTAATCGTAATCCCCAGTGGGCTCTGTCCAGAGAGAGAGGTCAAAGGTCTCCCCAAGGTCAGAGCTCGGTCTGGGGCCAGGGTGAGGATTCAGACTGAAGCCAGGTCTCCACCCGCAGACTGTCAGCTCCCTGAAGGCAGAAATGCCACCCACGACCCCCTTTACCCCTCCTCCCTACCAAGGGTCCCCCTCTGCAGCCCTGGCAGTGGGCCAGCAACCACCCAGAGGAAGGCCCTTCCCCCAGCATCCAGGCAGGGCCCCAAAAGGACCTCACTCACTGCGGGAGGCACCCATGGGTGCCACGCTGTCCGAGGACTCCGAGCTGTCGCTGTGGGAGCTGCCCTCACTCATCCTCCGTCCCGGGCGCTGGACCCTCGGAGCCTGAGGGGGCGAGGCAGGGGCGTCCAGGAGGGGTGGGCTGCCCCGGGAGCTGCCCTCCAGGAAGAGGGAGCTGTGGGCGTGCAGGGCATCGGCTGGAGGGGAGGGTGGGGGTCAGGCCGAGGAGCGAGTCTCCAACAGAGCTACCAGCTTGGCGCCAGCCCCATGCTGGGCAGGAGGCTGGGCGCCCGGAGGAGCCAGCCCCAGCCCTGCTCAGTCACCCGCCCAGTGAGCACCTGCACCCTCGCCAGAGCAGGCTTAGGGCAAACCTCCCCAGGTGGGGTATGGAGCCAAGACTCCGGTTTCCAAGGCCCTGGGGGTCCATCACAGGCCTCCCCTTGGCGACACCCCAGTTCAGGCCTGGCTCACCCTACTTGACCCTGGAGGCCACAGGCCCTTCACCAACACACCTGCCCTGGCTGCTGCTGTTCCTCCACCTAGAAGATCTCCAGCCCCAGTCCCAGCTCTTCTCCACCTGTCCAAATGCACCTGGCTGTCCAGGCTCTGGGAAAAGGCCACCTCTTCCATGAAGCCCACCAGGATGGCATGCTCCCCACGCTGCCCCCAGTGTCAGGCTGGGCACTCAAGAACAGCGCTGAGCAAGGATCCGGGACATGCCATCAGCTCTGATGGCTCAAGTGTTACACTGGACCTGGCCACAGGAGCTTGGCCGGGAGCCTGTTAGGGGGCAGAGCCTGGGTCTCTGAGCCCCAAGATGATTTACACAGAGCAGTGCATGGCACAGGTGGGCCCCTCCAAACACAGAGGAGTCAGCTGTCTTCCTGTCCTCCAGAGACCCTGCCCCGACGAGTGACCCCATTTGCTGGCAGCTCAGAGAGGCTGGACCAGAGAGAGCAGCACCAGTGTGCCACCTGGCTGGGGCCCAGTCTCCAGCTCGGCACAGTAGCTCACACCCCTACAAACCTACCAAGGAGGAGGGACTGTCCGTCGCCCAGTGGGAACCTCTGGTAGCGGGGCACACTGACAGGGGGCACCAGGTGGAACTTGGGCTCCAGCAGCGGCTCAAGCCTCGAGGCAGAGGGGTCCGCACAGTGGAAAAAGCTGTAGACCTGGCTGCAAGCAGGACGCACCTGGAAACCTGCGTGAGCGAGGAAGACACATGGGGAAGCCCTTTTTCAGTGCTTGACCCTAGTCCTTGACCCTAGAAGGGTCCCCAGAGTGCAGCTTCGAGTAGCCTACTCCTCTGCTCAAGAACCTCCCATGGCTCCCTTCTACCAACAGGAGCAAAGCCATAAGTTCAGTTTGGCATTCAAGGCCTTGCCAACCCGCCCCGCCTGGGAGTGCACTATCGGCACCCAGCACTGCAGCCGTAGTGAGCACCTGCAATTCCTCAGGCTTGCTGCCTTCCCTTCTCTGCACCTGTGCCCAAACTGTCCCCTCGCCACTATTTCCACTGCTCAGATTCCTTTCAATTCCCCCAGCTTCTGCTCAGTCGCTACCTGATCTATGGAGCCGACCCAGGTTCTTTCATTCAGGACAGCTGCCCAGGGCCTGGGGCTCCCATAGCACCACCTTATAACGCAGGGCTCCCCAGCCTGGCGCTAGACCCAGCTCCGGGTTGGCCAGAGCCGGCCGAACACTTCTCTCACTGACCAGCAGGTGTCTCCACTGAGGCCGGCCTGTCCCTCTAGGTGAGGAGACCGGACCGCCCAGATCCAGGGAGCCCTAGGGTTGCTCAGCGACAGGGAGAGCAGCCACGGGGATGCTGCCCCCTCTCCCCCACTTCAGCCAGACTCTCCCTCTCTGTCTGCATATCGTAGGTAGTCAGTACACTTTGGTGGAAAGTATCCATCCATCAATACCCAAGGTGCCCTCCGGCCTCTGACAGTCTGTGTTCCCTGTCCTCAAAGTCACAACCTGTCCCCACCGGTGCAAATTGCCTCGCGTGCATATTTTAGAGGAACAGGAACAGGCACTGGAGGCTGCGGGTCCTGCGTGAGCAAAGGCACTGAGGTGGGCTTGAGTGTATTGGGTTGGGCATCAGATAGACCAATCTGGCTGCAGCCGGTCTGCCGGGGACAGGGGAAGGAAAGGCAGGATGCAAGAGGGTGGGTATGCATGGCATGACTACTGGACAATGGGGGCCACAAATTGGCCGGGGGCATGTGACAGGGACAGTGAAATCCATCAGAAGCTGTCTCACCTTTGCACCGTCTGGGGAAATGCCTCCCTCTCCCTCCTCTCATCTCTTTCCTCCCGCTCTGACTCTATGACCCTGTCTGCCCCCGTCCCCCACCCCCAGCTCCCCCCAGGTTGAGGCCCTGGCGTCTCGGGCCCCGGCACACGCCACACCCACCGTCCAGCCCAGGCAGCACCGTCCTGCGCATGGCCAGGACCAGGCCCAGGGGCGAGCCGAAGAGGAAGAAGTCAGACACGTCAAAGTCGAAGCGTCCCAGGCTGACCTCGGAGAGCTGCGGCGCCCCGGCCGCGGGGAGCTCGCCCTCGTCCTTCAGCACGCTGGAGTGGATGCTGAGACGGCAGGGAGACACGGGACAGGGCAGGTTAGTGAAGGGCCGAGGAGGTGGGAGTGTTCACGGAGCAGCAGATCCTGAAGTCTGAGCGTGGCGTGCCCAGCCTTCTGGGACAGGGCTCAGGGCAGAGCCCACCTGCCAGACACCAACAACGTGAGTTGGCGACAGTCTCGGCATTGGCCACCCAGGGCGAGCCAACGTTTGGCTAGAGCAGGAGGCAGCAAACTTTTCCTGCAAAGGGCCAGGTGGTAAATATTTTAGACTTTGTATAAACCGCATGCTCTCCATTGCATCTACCTGACACTGTCATTGTGGCATGAAAGCAGCCACAGACGACACTTAAACAAATACGTGTCGCTATGATCTAATAAAACTTTGCTAACAAAAACAGCGTGAGCACCGAGGGCACCTAAGCGTCCTACACACTGGCAGGCCTGCGTCATCGGGCTGATTTTGTGGTGGCCACGCCGAGAATTCCTGCACTTCGACCAGAGAAGTCCAGACCGGCCAATACACAGACCAGCTGGATGATGTCAGTTTTGCCAGGATTAGGGCTTTCATCGTCACTTGCGTTCCAGGCAACCGGAAGGCACGGATGCAAACAGCTTGGGCTCCCCCCGCTCCCCCAGCCCGCAAATGGCACAGTGCTTAAAGAGAAAGACACAAACACACATGCGTTGTCCCAAGAGGAATGCAAGCAGTGTTCGGCCACAGACTCCCAGCAGGCTCTGAGGATCGGGAGGAGACTCCAGGACAACCCTGACTTGCCAGCCAGCATTAGGTACAGTGTAAGCCGCAGACATCACGGTGGGATGGCTCAATGTATCAGTCGATTAACTGAATGCAAATGCAACTAGAATGCTCCACGTGGAGGTGAAAACGTAGCAGCAATAACAACTGAAATAGTGTGGGCCAATGCCCCGGCCTCTGCCGTGAGTGAGTCTGCAAAGCTGAAACCTCACTCCCTTCTGCCTCTTGCAGTGTGAGCATCTCCCCGGGAGGACGATGACTCTGGTGTTTAACGACACATATTTCATGTACAGCGTGGTCCCTAAACACACGCCAACTACTTAATTGCCAAAGAAACTGCCATCTGTCCCTACACCAGAGGGAAAAGCTGGCTGTGTCAGACCAGCTACTGAAAACCTCCAACTTCTTTTCATTCCCCAAATTTGGGGCTTTCCTAAAGGATGCTTCAAGGCTGAACCAGAAATGTTGAGATTTTTTACCTTGCAACCCTTGCTTGAACGTAGCTGCTTTTCTACAAAATAGTCTGTAAAAAGGGCTTTAAATATTCATAAATTTCAATAGGCAGAGTTTTTGACCTTGTAACTCCTCTCCAGGAAGCCATCTGAATGAAATGACCCTAATACATACATTGATGTTTATGCACGAAGATGTTCACTGTCGTTCTATTTATAATGGCGAAGAATTGGAAAAAGCCAAAGGGTCTAATTACTGGGATTAAGTAAACTGTTGTCCGTTTACTCAATAAAATAGTATATCACCATTAAGGATATTTACCAAGTATTTTTAATTATATAGGGACAAGATCACAATATGAAAGGTTTTCTTAAAAAAGTAAAACTATATGCAAAGCATGCAAAAAAAAAAAAAAATACAGAAAGGATATAGGCTCAATGCTAACAGTGGTTGCCCCTGGGTGGTGAGACGACATATTTTCCAAATGTTGTAATGACCTCATGATACTTAACACTTGGATAAGAAAGAAGGAAAGAGGAAGAAGAGAATTGAGGAGGAAAGAAAGAAGAAAGGGACATTCATTCCATTTGGGGCCTATGTCTAACAGTCATTTGTATCCTAAGTTAACGTGCAGACAATTCATTTAGCCCGTGTTGGTTAATGTGTCACTTCCGGAAAGTCAGAGGGTGAACAGTCCCGTAGAGGGGCCCGCCTGGCCTACAAACAAAAGTGTGTTTTGTTGGAAAGCACTGAACCGAGCGGGATAAGGAGCCCAGAACTCGGATCCCAGCTCTCCCATAACGGGGCCGTGTGAACCCCAGAAACTTCGAGTCCTACTTGTTCCTGTTTCCCCGTCCGAGAAATGATAAGAACGCAAAGCTGAGGCAGCTTCCAAAACACGCCTGCATCTGTTATCCCACTAGATTTTTAAAACCAGCCCGTGAAGTAGGCTGGGCTGTGTCACACTTTCGCAGACCACTCTCTGCCAGTCGGGGCGGGGCAGGGGGAGGGAGCAGTTTCTCGGGTCTCAGAGCAGGGCTGATGGCAAGTGGCCTTGGTCCCAGCACTTCAGTGCCTGCCTGCTGGCCCCCATGGGAAGGCCTGAGACCTGTGACTGGTCACAGCCCTCCCACACTTCTTGAGCCAAGGCCCTCTGCCTCCGGGGTGCTCTGATGGAAAGAAGGCGGGGACAGGGAGGGGCGTTACCTTGAGAGGAAGGCATGATGCTGGGTGATGGCCTCGCAGTCATAGGTGGAGGAGTCGCTCTGTTTCCGTGGCAACGGCCTCGTGGGCTCCTCATCCTCCAACCCACTGGAGAGGTCAATGTTGCTCTTGCTGAGACGCTTACTGCTGGCCAGACTGCAATCTTCCTCCCCCACAGTTGGGGTGTCCTTTGGGGCCGAGCAGAAGACAGGAGAGTACTATCGTCACCGGAGACTCTGGCGCCCTGTGTCCTCCCCCAGGCAGGGATCAACCCCCTCCCCCTGGGATGTGACGGGCTACGCTTCTTCCAAAAGGCACGTGGAAGCCATAACACAATAATGGTAGGATTGGGGGCACAGGCTGTCTCCTACATCCACGGGGACTGGCAATCCAGCTGGGACAGATGTCTAGGAAGCCAAATCCAAATCAGCCCTCTCTGGGCCTCGGTTTCCCCTCCTGGGATACTTATCTCTTGCTACTCTTGCAGAATTGTGATACAATCCTCTATAACCTGGACGTCACAGTGCCAACCTGAAGGACAGCGCTACCTCCCAGAGGGGACCCCTGCTCCCCTGGGACACGGCCTCCCCCGTCCCGCCACCTGGCCGCACCTGGGTGCTGCTGATGCTCCCCTTCCGGCTGCTGCTGCCAGGGCTGTCCCCCGAGGGCCCCGCACTGTAGCAGATGGCATCGAAGGCCAGGAGGCCGCCCACACAGTCCCCAATGAGACACACCTGGAGAGGCACAGCTGGCCTGCAGGCTCGCCCGCCACAGACCCCAGACCCGCCCCTACACCCAGCCAGAGCGGGCCGCCTTCCCACCGGGGAGCGAGGGACCTGCCCCGGGGAGGCCCTGAGGGAGCCCAGTGGGGAAGCGGTGCTGCCCCGGAGGGACCAGGGCTTAGGCAAGGCCCAGCTTCAGACGTGGGCTCAAACTCAGAACTCGGACTGTGGGCCTCAGTCCTCCCATCTGTACAATGGCAGCAAACCCACAGATCCCAAAAGCCGCCTTTGATGTCAGGTGCTTTGACTCTAGAACAGCCTGGTCTCCTCGACCCTTCCAGCAGATCCCAGCCTCTCTCCAGCCGGGGGCCAGGCCAGGGGAGGGGCGGGTGGGCTGTCCCACCTGCCCACTGAAGCCGATCCCGTCGGAGGACTTGAGGAACTCTCCGTACACCTGGTTGGCTCGCTCGATGACGGTGGCCACGGCGTCCTGGTACTGCGGGGAGGAGATGGCCAACAGGGGCAGGGCGGCCAGGGGGACGTGGTCCTGGCTGTTGCTGAGGCCGCCCTCGTCGTGGCTGTAGGGGTTCAGGCTGCAGACAGGGGGCCCAGGGTAAGCCCAGCCGCGGCCAGGCAGGTGGGCAGGTTTGGGGCTGAGGACAGGGTGGAGGAGAGGATGTGCTGGCCAGGAACTTGGTCCCCAGCTCCAGGGACCCTTCAGAAAGACCCAGGCAGGAACCAAGTGAAACAAAGGAAGGCAGTGGTGGCAAGGGGATGGGGCAGGGGGCTCAAGGCTATGCTGACCCCCGTGTGTCCACCCCCTGCCTGCCATGGTGTGGGGCCAGAGGCTCCTGTGGCAGGGCTGCTCTCTGGCCCACTTCTGCATGGCCCCCAAGGACACCCCAATTGTAGAGGAAGCTGGGAGCCAAAGCCAGCTAGTGCATATCAGGGTGGGGACATGTCATCATGGCAGACTTCCCGGAGGAGGTGGGGTTTGAGCTAGGCCTCAGGAAGGCTTTGGAGAAGCTGAGAAAGGAGGAGAGAGGGCACGCCAGCTGTGGGGATCACGTGTTGGCCACAGCTTGCAGGAGGACACAGCTGCACGCGTGACGTTGTTTTCCACGGCGTAGTGGGGAGAAGATCCAGACCTTTCATCAGCTTTGCAGAAAGCTCTGCGACCCACGGAGGGCTAAGAGAGCCTGTCCAACAGCATGCCCACCACCAGCGCACGGTCCAGACTGCACACCGGCCCCTCACCTCCCCACCTCCCCACTAAGAAGTTCCTCCCTCTCTGGGCAGCTCAGGCCCACCTGAGACCAGCCCCTGGCCCAGCCCCCGCCTGTCTTGGCCCTGTCCCCTGAGGCATCTGATCCAGAGGCACTGTTGGGCCTGGCCGGGCAGGAGGGACCACGGAGGGGGGCCTGGAACTCTCCGCCCGCTGCCCAGAGCCTGCCCCTTCCCGTAGTCCGAGCTCAGGCTGGCCGAGAGCCCCATGCTGATCCCACTGGGGACTCAATCTCGGGCAGGTGACAGGGCTCAAGCACCCCCGGCAGGTGGCAGAGTCCTTGTGGTATACGAGGCCGGCCCCATCATCCATTCCTCATCTCCAAAGAACACAAATTAGAGGAAACGGGCCTCGATTGCAGCCGGAGAGATTTTAATTAGCTGAGAAAGCTCCCTCGCAGCAGTGATTACGGGGTGATTAATGGCCCTGGCAAGGAGCTGCCTGGGGGAGAGGTAAGCTCCCTCCTGCTGTCCCTTCAAATTGCCCGGTCATCCGTCTTCCTGGAGATAGGGGTGACCCAGCTCTGGAGGTCAGACATCCTGGGGGGACGTGGGGGGAGTCCTGAGACAGATTATGAACTAGCACAATTAAGTCCCGGCTGCTGGGGTATGAAGGGAACAAGCCGCACCCGCTCAGCAGCTCCCCAAGCAGAGCAGGAAGCAGCGGCAGCTGTCAAAGATGCAGATTCCAAGGCCCGTCTCCTCCTGGATCCGCCACTCCGGGGGTGCAGCCCGGACATCTTGTGGTTTAATAAGAATCACGCCAGGGACATGGGCAAGATTAGCCGGGTGGGGGTACTGCTGCCCTAATCTTCCTCCCTTCCGACTCTGATTGCAGTCTGCCCTGCCGGCGGGGCGTTTGTGGAACGCAGAGAAATCAGAGTCTCTGCTTCGCATCCCAGCGGGGTTGGGGAGAAGTGAAGCCCGGGAAGGGAGGGGGCTTGCCCGGGCTCTCCCCTGACCGTCTGGGGGCTCCAGGCACTGAGCCCTTTCTCTTAGCCACATCTGACTGAGGACACCAGCCCCCCTTCCCCTGGGGGTAGGGAGCTCCCCACAAACCCGGTGACCTGCTGGAGGCCTCTTCCCACCCTCCCAAGCCCCAGGCGGAAGCTTATCTCTATGGCAGAGCCTGAGGGACCCTCTCTGCAGCCGCTTCAGAGCTCCTGGCAGAGTCCTGTGATGGGGAGGGGCGGGAAGGAGGTGCCAGCAGCCTCCCTCTCACCCCTAACTGCAGAAGGTTCCCGGCTTCCAGCTGCCAGTCCCAGCCATTGGCCAAATGCTCTACAGCATGTGGCCCCGCAGGTGCTTGGGACCTTTTTTGCACATCTGACTAATGAGAGCCCAGGGTGCCCGCCTGAGCCCGGGCCCCCACCTTCAGCTAGTTCAATGGGACAGGCACCTGAGGAGCACGGGAGCCCTCGGGTCTGGAGCAGTGGGTGGGACCTCCCACAGGCCCCCGACCCCAGAGGGCCCTTGGTGGCTCAGTGTCCCCCACAGGTGCCAGGGCCCACACGGGGCAGGGACGTGCCAACATCAGCAGTGGGCCAGCTGCCCAGTGCTCAGCCAGCCTTCTGTGCCTGCCACCCCTTCCCTCCTCGCTCCCCGCCAGCCACATTCCCTGCTGGGAATCAGAAGTCTCCCTCCCCAGCGCCCCTCCACCCACCGGCCAGGAGGACGATGCCAGGAGTCACAGCCAGCGTCCCCAGGTACTCTCTAGGTGCCGGGCACTGTGTTAAGGGCTTCACCCACACTAGCACGCAGAATCCTCACAAGTCTTTGGAAGCTTACCTCTATGGTCACCCCCATTTTACAGATGAGGAAACTGAGATAGGGAGAGGTGAAACAACTTCCCCCAGGTCACTCAGCCAGCATCCAAATCCAGCTGACCCAAGAGGCCACACACTTCCCTATGGTAGGCACACCCAAATGCCACCTCTCCAGCAAGTCTTCTCTGGCCCTGTCCCAGAGAGTTTGCAGCACCCAGTGCCTTCTCCACGCCCACACTGTGACATTGTGACACACAGAGAGTGACTGGTTTTCGTCCATGACTCCGAGCTCGTAACTGCCACAGCCCTAGTTACAACACTGGGCACTGCAGAAAATCAGCTCTCTCCCTCTGACCCCCTGCCCTCTTTTCACTTGCTCCTTTTTCTCCCAAAGCCTAATTTCCCCCCACCTTTCTGTGTCTTGGAGCTGGCCATAAAGAAATTCTCTGACCTACCTTGTCCGATTGAGGCCCATAAACCCCCATTTCAGACCCCGCACCCCGGAGGAAGGAGAGCTGTGCAGAGAGGCCAGGAAGAACCTACGGACAGGCCTTGCTGGCACTTCCCCACTCGGCCCATCAGGATCAGATCACACCCTTTCTGTCCAATCACATTTCGACTCGGTTGTCAATCACGCCTATCCATTGAGACTTTTTATGAAATCTCCATAAAAGGCTCAAGAGGACAGGGTTCCGGGAGCTTCCAGACAGCTGAACACATGGAGATTCCTGGAGGTGGCATGCCCGGGGAGGGTATGGACACATACTCCCCTTCCCCTGTACCTTGCCCTACACATCTCTTCACCTGCATCCTTTGTATAATAGACCAGTAAACGGAATGAAGGCTCCTTTGGCTGTGAAACCCTGGAGGAAATTGCTTAACCTCCCAAGGCCTCAGTTTCCTTATCTGGGCCAACTAGATCAGGCCTATGAAGTACAGGAAGTGGATCTGAGCTACCATGCCCCCCCCAGCCCCACCCAGCCCTGGGAAGAGGGCTCTCCCCACCCACTGTGCACCAGTCATGCTTGTGTTCAACCAAGATGTGACATCCAGAGAAGCGTGGGCAGGCACCCACTGCCCAGGAGGTAACCAGGAGGCAGGGCAGCCCCTCCACTTAGCCCCCCGCCACCAACAGCCCCAACCAGCCCCAACACGCAGAAACGGACTCACTGAGAGACGAGCGAGAAAGCCTCAGAGCAGATGGCAGGACAGGGGACGAACTTGATGAGGATGTGGCCCAGGGCGGCAGGGAAGTGGGCTCGCGTGACCTTCTCCAGCACAGAGCTGAAGGTGTGGGTGTCGGCGGCCTTGCAGGACAGGTCCCCCGAGCCCGTGTCCAGGACGTTCCCCCCGTGCAGCACCAGCAGAAGGACATGCGTCTTGCAGGAGCGCTGTGGGCAGCCTTCCTGAGAGGGACATTGGTCAGGATAGAGAGACAGACAGCAGGGCATGGGAGGGAGGCACACAAGGACGTGCACACAGGGGGAGCGTGGCTGGGGACGCAGGCACCTGCCCAGCCTGTCTGGCGGCTCTAAGTCGAGGAGTCCTGCAGCCCCCCCTCCATGTGACATAACCTTTGGTGCCTTCAGAGTGAGGGGCACAGGCTGCCAAGAGGGCAAGACCCTCGATGTATGTGAGGACAGGAAAGGTCCCAAGAGAGCTATCTTGTTCCTATGGGAACCCAAAGCCCAGAGAAGGACAGAGACCTGCCCAGGGTCACACAGCAAGTCAAAGGAAGAGCCAGAAGAAAACTAGGCAGGCTGTCTACCATCCTACGTCCCTTCCCAAAATCCTGACCACAGAGGTCGCCCCAGACACGCTCAGAAACCCAGCCCACCTCGCTGTCTTCGTGGATCTCGATGCTCCCCTGGGCTGGGAACCTCTGTCTTCTCAGGGAGACCCGGTACAGCTCTCCTGCAGAGGGGACAGAAGGGGAACTCAGCACCTCCAGGCTTCCGCCCCGGCGACAGGACACGAGGCACGGGCCCTGGAGGTGAGGCCTCGGCTCACAGGTGAGTTGGAATGATAGTCTGTCCAGCCCCTGCCTCTGAAACCAGCACGACATGAAACCCTTTCTCCTTCTCAGGAAGGGAAGACCAGCAGAGTGAGGCCGCCACCAATGCTGTCCCTGAGACAAGGCGGGCATCCCAGGAAGGGAACGTCCTGCTTTTCTTCACCAATGGCAACAGCCCGGCATGAGCCCTGCCTGCGACTTCCTGCGACTTCCACCGCAGAGATGGACGCCAATGTGGGCCGAGCTCCCCTCTGGGGACAGCTTAGAAGAGCTGGCATAATGATTAATTTTATGTGTCAACTTGACTGGGGCAAAGGACACCCAGCCTGCTGGGAAAACACTATTTCTCGGTGTATCTGTGCGGTGTTTCCAGAAGAGCGTTTGGATCCGCAGACTGAGTGAAGAGGAGCCCCCCCCCCCAAGCCGGGGGGCAACGCCGGAATTGGAAAAAACCGGCCCGGACAGAGCACGAGGGAGGAGGAAGGCAGAATCCACACTTTCTTTTTAAGATCAGACACCCATCCTCTCCTGCCCTCAGACATCAGCATTCTTGGTTCTCAGCCTTCAGACGCGAACTGGGACTCACGCCATCATTGTGTCCCCGGTCCTCGGGCCTTTGGGCTTGAACTGGAGCCAGGTCAGGTTCCTGGGCTCCTGCTGCCAGACAGCAGATCCCGGGACTTCTCTGCCTCTGTCATCGTGTGAGCCCATGCCCCACAAAAAATGTCTTTTTAGGCATCTATTAATATGTAGAACCTATTGGTTCTGTTTCTCCGGAGAATCCTAACACGGCTGATAAATATATATTTTTTTAATATCTGGTTGAAGCTATCAGAGAGATCACAAGGCCTTGAATTATGGCACCGTGGTCCAGACCCGCAAAGAGGTAAGGCCAGCGTTTGGAGCGACACTCGGCATCACATCACGAGCTTTGTGACTGTGACGAAGCCGGCTGCTGCTCCTCCCAGCTGCCTGGCTGAACACCTGCTCCTCCAGGGAGCTAGGCTCGCCGCCCTGCTTCAGTTCTCGCTGCTCTAATACGGGGTCAGTGATACACAGCCATGGACCGAATCTGGCCCGCCACCTGCTTTTTTAAATAAAGTTTTATTGGAACACAGCCAGGCTCATTCGTTACCTACTGTCGACGGCTGTGTTTGTGCCACAGCAGCAGAGTAGCCGCAACAGAGACCTCACAGCCCACGAAGCTGAAAACATTCAGTATCCAGCCCTTTACAGGAAAGCCTGCCAACCCCTGAGCTAACACTCATGCTCCCGAATGTCATGACAATGGACTTGCAGGTGGAGAGAGACCTCAGAGACAGCCAACAGCTGCCCCCCACCCAAATGCCGCCTGCCGCCCCGAGGAATCCTTCCTTCCATCAAGCCGACCTCAGCTTCCCTCTTTTCTCCTCTGTGAGATGGATACGCTTTTCTGTGTGTAGCCAAAACCCACCGCTCGATAGAGCCAGCTGGTGGCCTTCGATGACTACGAGGAACTTGCTTATCTCTTAAAGTCGCAGCCCATTCTAGATGAGAACAGCCCTTTCCGCCTTCACACCCCACCCCACCCCCACCATAGTACCCCCCCCCGGGAGTCACATCTGGGGAGGGCCCCATCGGGGCTACCCCACCCCCACCATAGTACCCCTCCCCACTGGGAGTCACATCTGGGGAGGGCCCCATCCCGGGGCTACCCCACCCCCACCATAGTACCCCCCCCTCCCCACTGGGAGTCACATCTGGGGAGGGCCCCATCCCGGGGCTTTCGGGCAACCCCAGCCAGCCCGTGGTGTCTGAGTCAGCCACGACCAGCTCCCAGCCCCCAGGGAGGGCACATCTGCAAGGAATTCCAAATGAGAAGCTTTCTCAGCAGGGAGGTGCGTTTCTGAACTACTCTGTCCTTACAGACGCAGCCCTGGTCGAAGGGTGACTGCTTTATGAGCCCGAGCTGCTGCCCACACAGACAGGAAATCGTTCCCGAAATGATGGAGGGGGTGACTTTTAGGAGGAGGAGGAAAAACTTGTCCTGAGGCCTGACTCTGCCCAGCACTTACTAACGCCCCTTCCAGTGGCGTAGGCTTGCCCTAGGTCTGGCTCGAGGGGCCTCAGGCCCTGCCCCCCCGCACAGGAGGACAATACGAGACAACAGTAGTGGGTCAGTTGTATTAAGTACTTACTATGTCCCAGGCACTGTGTGCTCTACCTGCATCGTCCAGTCCCCACCATTACTCTCTGAATTTGGATGAGCTTGTTATTAGCCCCATTTCATAGATGAGCAAACTGAGGCTAGAACAACCGGCATCAATTGCCCCAGACGCCAGACCTCTTTCCACGACATGAAATAGAGCCAGGGGGAAAGAAAAGGGCCGAAAAGGAAGCCGGAAGGGGCCTCCCCCAAAAAAAACAACCAAAAACCAACCCCCGGCAACGCCCCGGGGCAAGGCAACCCAAAGAAACCGGAGCCCGGGCAGGGCTGAGGTTGTGGCCGTGGAGCCTGGAGGACCCATGTCCTCTAGGGCTGGGAGGGGCGTGGTTAAGGCCATGGACTTTGGAGCCAGAATGGCTGAGTTCAAATCTTGGCTCGTATGAGCTGTGTGACCTGTCTCAGTTTCCTCATCTGGAATACGGGGATAATACCGGTAGCTGCGTCATAGGGTGGTGATGAGGATAATTGAGTCCATATATATAAAGGGCTTAGGCTGGGTGCGGTGGCTCGCGCCTGTAATCCTAGCACTCTGGGAGGCCAAGGTAGGCGGATTGCTCAAGGTCGGGAGTTCGAAACCAGCCGAGAGCGAGACCCCCGTCTCTACTACAAATAGAAAGAAATTAATTAGCCAACTAATATATATATACAAAAAATTAGCCGGGCATGGTGGTACATGCCTGTAGTCCCAGCTACTCGGGAGGCTGAGGCAGGAGGATTGCTTGAGCACAGGCACTAACTCTAGCCAGGGCAACAAAGTGAGACTCAGTCTCAAAAAACAAAATAATAATAATAATAAATAAATAAATAAAGGGCTTAGAACAGGGCATAAGTCCATATACATGGACGGCTTAGTCTAGGGCGTGGAACATAGGAAGTGTCATACACGTTAGCTGCTATTGTTATTATTATTACCCAGGGTGCTCAGGGGCGCAGAGCCAGGGCCACAGCTGACGAAATGGGGCTGATCGGGACATTGCCACCTCCACACTTGCCTGCCCTGCCGCCAAGTCCCTCCCTGCGCCTTGGCATGCTCCCCGGCCGCGCTGGGCTGGGTGCCTGCTTGCAGTGTGATTACAGGATTAAATGCTGTGATTGCCACAAATTACCACGGCAAGGCTATAAATAAGTTGCAGGGAAGCCATGAGGGTCCTGCTGTCTCCCGGGCACCATGCCCTCTGTTGGGCAGGGGCTGGATCCTGCACCCTGGCTGATTTCACAGACCGAGAGCACTGCATCCTTGATCTGCCTGGAGTCTGTTTCCTGGGGGGCCCACGAGACGCTCTGGGCATCAAATTGGTAGACAAGCGCTGCGTCCTGGCCACAAATGACGCTGAGGCCGTGCCTGGCTCAGTGGGGATGGAAGCCACAGGCCAGAGGCTGGACAGGCTTGTCCTCAGCATCCCTCGCTCCTCCTAGCAAGAAGGAAGGGCCTCGCTTCCTACACTTTTGGGGGGCGGGGTCTTGCTTCCCTTCGATGCACAAAAGCCAGAAATGCTTTGCTCTGCGGGACAGAGGAGGGGAGACCTAGCCTGCAGATCTAGAGTGTGGCCCTTTGAGGGTCGACTAACAGGGCCAGAGTTACTCCACAGGAAGGCACATCTCCAGTTTCGGCAGAGGCCTCTGTGGACAAGCAGAAAGGCAGCCTGAGGCCACCTTGCCTGCACCTTGCCCACGGGCTCTGCTTCTTCTAAGAGCCACACATTCCCACCGCAACAACTGAGGCCACTGGCTGTCTCACCCACAAGACATAACTCTTTCACGCTTCCTTGCCTTTGCTCATGCAGAGCCTTTTGCCTGGTAAGCCCTTCCTCCCTTCGCAGACCAGCAAACTCCTACTTGTCCTACAAAACCCTGTTCAACTGCCACCACCTCCAGAAAGCCTTCTCAGATCTACCCAGGCAAGGATGGTTATCCCACAGCATGCCGAGCCGGGCCTGGCTTATTGCTGTAAAGCGACTTGTCCATTTCCTCGTCAGACTTTGGGCCCCTTGAGAGCAGGGTTTATCAGCTTTCCAGGCCTAGCATGGCATTTTCGTGAAAACATTTTGGAAGTGAAGAGCCCAGGATGCACGCAGCCGGGGAGACATCTCTGTGCTGCTAAACCCCCAGGAGAAATCAGGTTCAGGGAGTACCCTGGGGAAGCGGTATGTGGGAACATCTGGGGGATTCTAGAACACTCTGGCCTGGGCTTTGTAATGCTGCCTCTTGAGACCTGCCCAGAGCCTCTGGTGAGAAGAGCAGCTGGCAGGGGACCCTGGGTGGTGGGGAGCCACCCACAAGGGACCCCAGGACCTCACTGTCAGGCTGCCACTTCCTCCCACTTCCTGTTAATCTCTGTTTGCATGGCCCTATTCAGGCTGGGTCCCTGCCATGCCCAGATTTGGGGCAGGTGAACCCACAGCTGTTTTGTGACAATGTTTTGTGCAGGCTTCGAGGCAGGCCAGCTACCGCAGTGCCCGCTCCCAGCACTCTGCCAGCCCAGCGCTGAGCCCACCCTGCTCACCAGGGCTCCTCCTGCCGGCGAAAGAATGGAGCCTATTTTTTGCCTAATCACAGGCTTGGAAAGGCACTCGTTGTGATCATCCCTTCTAATTACCGATGCACCACACTGCTCTTGATACAAAAGCCAAGGTCGCCACCCACGCGCTTGGCACCCTAAGCAAAGCATCACCCAGCTTGGCTGGAGGGTCCAGC